GAGTCATGTTCAGAAGGCAGCTGTCGAAGGTTAGATCGGAGCTATGTGCGCATATCCATTTGCAAAAAATTTAAAACTCTCAAATTTACTGAAATACTCTACGATAGAAATCAATTTCGGATAAAATTTATAAACATCAGCGAAGTATGACTCCAGAAACGTTTACCACATTATTATTCCTGCATTCATTAAAGTCAAATGTGATTCCATTGTAATATGAACGCTAAATGATGATTTTATGTGTGATATTATTTAAGCTGGAAGGAGCTCGTTCGACTGATAGTATCGGGTAGATAGACTTAAGTCTCACATGAAAATCTAGTTGTCTCATTAAGTGTTTACCTGCTTGAGGTTACTGTCATTAAATATATACCAAAATAAACTGCCGATAACTTAATGAAACTAGCAACATAAATAGTAGACATGTATTCATTATTAGCTGAATGAGAAAAGTTCGACTACGAACATGTTATAACGTTCAACCTTTCAAAGGAAGGATAAAAAGAGTGTTTTTCATTTCAATACTTAACTTGGTTTTAATTTAACCGTCCGTTCCTTTCAGGTGATCTATTGCCAGCGGATGGAGTACTAATTCAAGCAAGTGATCTCACGATTGATGAAAGTTCTTTGACTGGTGAAGCTGACCGTGTGCGTAAAGGTGAACGGACAGATCCCATTTTATTTTCAGGTGAGTTTCAAAATAATTATTCGTTAATTTGTGGCTTTTATTTGCTGTGATTTCTGTCAGTATTAAACTACATTTTCTAAAGGAACTCACGTCATGGAGGGATCCGGCAGGATGCTCGTTACAGCTGTTGGTATCAACTCGCAAGCCGGGATAATCTATTCACTTCTTAACACTGTGAATGGCGATGCAAATATGAGTCAGGGGCCGGAAAGCAGAACGGAAAAATGGAACGAAGTTCGAAAAAATGGCAATTTGACGGGTATCTTTGCACGTATTTTGGCGACTGACATTTTTGAGTAAAACATGCATTCATTATTTTGGGAAATCTGCTTAAATAAACTGACATCCAGAACCTTAAAGTTTGAAGAAAAAAATGTCATAGTTGCTGTGAGTGTGCGTTTTTTTGAATTTACTCGATAAACGTCATTTCATTTCCAAAAATTGATAAATTTCTAAGAAAATGTCTCGGGATGCTCATATGTCGACACTTGCACATAAAGAAGTACTATAATGATCACGCTTGGCATATTTGCTGTTATCGCTCAGCCATACCTTGCCCCTAGGTATTGCAACCTCTGAGAATCAAAACTGCGTTCCGCTTAACGATCTAGCCACTTCGCCACGGGATACTTGTCTTTTCGTTTGCCACCTTGCTAGGACGGCGTTCGCTGACCGTGTTACGGGATCTGCTTGCCTTGTTTCTGGGCACATCGGCAGACCCAACGAAGAGATCAATGCGCCTATAGTGTTGAAACAGTTTAGAGTCTGAGAGATTGAAATATCTGAGCTTGGTATGGATGACTGCTAACGATTAGTAAGCCAAAATAGGCTTTTCAGTCTTCCTTGTCCTTGTCGGTGGTCTCCCCCTATAGATAACTAGCCACTGTGCGGCTGCGTATGGGTCTTTAGATTGACCCCTCAACACAATAGGCGTTTAGGTTCCTTCAAAGATTGGGGTGCTCCCTCTAGCATATAAATATTATACGATGGAAAGAAGCCGCCCCGACAACCACTTTAGCAGCCCCAAGCTTGAGATGCCCCGTAATTGGACGATGAGGCGTAGGGGTCTCCCGGCTTGTGAACCTTTGTCCAGTAGTAGAAACGGCACCAGTGGTCTTTTATGGCCAGCGCTTCCTTTCTCTCGAGATATTCCAACTTCCTCCGCTTGTCGAGCGTCTTGTTTATGCAGTTCACGAGCTTTCTGAACCCGTAGATATTGATGGTGCGTAGGATTCCTTTTACATCAAAAGATTGTTCACTTTTGTCCAATACTCAGACTTATCCATGCCGAACTTCGAGCGTTGTTTTTCGGTGGGCAGAAGAACAACATCCTCAAGTTTTCGTATTCCCAGAAGCTATCGTTCTTCTACTTTAGAAAGAGTCCTTTGACCTTTGCGCTGAAGGAGTGCAGTTGCCACTTATTGCCGTACGACGTTCTTGCACTCCTCACTTGCCTCGCATTTCTGGGGCGCCAATCCACAGGATGCGACAAAGTCTTCTAGTCGAGCATCTATCGTGCTGATTTTTGCGTCATAGAATAGAATCTTTAGCTGTTGCTGCTTGCTAGGATGGGAGGACAAGTTGTGAACCACAATCCCATTAGAAGCGGAGTGCTTTGGCAGACTGATTTCTTCAAACTTAACAGACAGCTGGTCATAACGTACCTTGCGATGATGCCGTGCACCGTCTAGGGTTGCCGCCTCGATCCTAAAACATTTTGGGATCGGTGTGACTCCCAGGAGCATACTGCAAATTATGAAGCTCAAGGACGCATTGTCTGTAACCAGACAATTAGCAGAGGTCTACAGCATACCGTGCAAAAATTGTGATGCGAGGTACGTTGATGAAACGGGCAAATGCCTGGGTACAAGATTGCACGAACACCAACTTGCAATAAACCGTAAAGACAAGCTATCTTAAGTCCATAATCACGTAGAACAGCTGAACCACGATTTTTCCATTAAAAAAGTGAGGGTCATCGGCAGAGCCAATGAAAAGATGGTCAGACTTGTGCTCGAAAGTTGACTCTTGGCTAGTACAATCAATCGAGCTGTATACTTGTACCCCGCCTACTAGGCACTTCGTATAAGACTCAGATCAATTCGGACAGGGTAGTAGGGCAAACGAGTGCGCTGAACTGAGAGCCAAAGTTCATGGAATATGGAGGCGGTGGTTGGAGGCCACGTGACCATCATCCAACACTACCTCGTCGATGCGTCCGCGAAGCGAAGAACAACTCAAGCGAACAGTAATGACTAATCAGTCCGCCGGTTGATGTGGTGGAGGCTAACAGACACATTGCCTACAAATATGCAGACAACAAAGGGAACAAAAGTCACACAAGCTCGCCGGCGGCCAACCTCCGGAAAATCAAATATAGTCAGCAGCGAACGGGCAAGTCAAAGTTTGGGCGTCTAGCACGGCTAGGATACGAGGCAAGCGGCAAGGCTGACTAATTCAAGACCACCAGAAGCAGCAACTACAACACATATGATGGAAGCGAGAAAGGCTCCGAAACGCTAGTACGAATACAATTAGGTTTACGATCTTGCCCTCTCTCCTTCCTCTTTTTTGGAAGATGGTGAACGCGATAAGAAACCTCGACCTTGAATCTGTATGCATAATATATACATATATGATAAAGTTATTGTCAGTATAAGACGATACCGACCGTAGTATTGCATTTCGGCAATTAACCGCGTGCGGTTATTTAACAGTATTTGATTCTTTTTGACTTAAATGTTGATTGAAATGTTAGATATTATCCTATAATCTCATGTGCACAACACTAAGCTCAAAGCCCTATAGGAACTAGGTTCCAAAATGAGTAATATGATATTACCATAGGGTTAGTAGAGCAGAAGCCGCATTAAGTGAGGTTAAGAAATCACTAAGAAGCTGAACCTCACGGAAGTTCATCGGCAAAATGCTTGTCTGGTATTTTACTTGGTGTCAGTGGCTAGAATATGTTAAAACTCCTGATCAGTATCACTTTAAAAAAGCTTATTCCACTAGGGGTAAAATAGTCAATACAATATTAATAGATCATTCATGCAAACATTTAACCTTTACGTGACTAAATAAGTTTGACAATTTTCTACCTGGCTTGCTGTACATAGTTAATCTTAATGTTAGTTTGTGCTTCGAGGAACCTTAGGGGACACTTTTATTTCCATTAACCCTTTACTTATGACTCTGCTTTGTTTTAAGAACCTGCGGAAAAGGGTTCACGCCCAGATGCGAAAACAAAAACTCCGAGGGTTAAGATCCGAGTAAAGGAGATGTCGGTTTTGCAATTGAAGCTAACGAGGCTTGCAATTCAAATAGGCTACCTTGGTATGTCTAATGTATGCCGATATTTACTTAAACGGTTTCAAAATATAGACAAAGTAACTACCACTTGAAATAGAGTCATAAGATTGCCTCTGCGTTTTACTATGAATATATTGTATAATATCTTGCATTTCTTACCGGATGTTGCTAACGTTTTCCTATATTCCTGTGAGACTACTTAATACAATGTTCTACCTACGTCTGTGACACTACTGATGGCAGTGACTTCAATGGTTGAAAAGGTGCTCCAAACCTTCGATATAATGCCAATGTCTGGCGTCTTTAGATATATTTGTACACCAACGACATGTACGTTTGCATATTCATAGTCTTCTTTGACATTTGAATTTTGTCCCCGTTTCCGATATACCCCATCCAGGAATCAAGATGCTCATATTTTTCAACCGTTAGAAAGACGGGAAGACGTTCTTTTCATTACAAGGTAATAAACGTAAACTCCGAAGCCAAGACAAAGTAGAAAATACCAATAACTTTAGTATAATCGCAGCGTCTCACAGTGCCTGATGGGTTTTTGTAAAACTTGCGTTTTCCATAAGATAAAGGCTAATTCTTACATGCTAGCATGAAAGCAGAAATATATTTCATATATTTTATGTTTTAAAGATCGTTCATTATGTTGAGGTTATCATCCTGTAAATAAGTATAAGCTATAACCTTTCAGGAACTATCGTGTTGGCATTGTTTAATAATAAAATATTTTTTATTATGATGAAAAATCTTCTTTTATTCAAGGTGCTAGGGTCGTTTCTGTGAGCAATTGTGCAAAGCAGACTGCGCCTCATTTCCTGGTGTTTGGTGTTTGAACCTTGCCATTAACAAGGAACAGAACATTTGCTTTAATTTTAATAACGAGAAAAATAAAGGTCATTTTATACATGTATCTTATCAAAATAGTTTAAATTTTTAGCGCAAATAAACATAAAAGGGCTTTTTAAATGGTAGTCTACAAGTTTTTTCTTTGCAGCCTTCCGACTCTAGCTAATTCCTTGGTTTATGCATTGATATAGCTGTAACTGCGTCAGAAAAGTGACGACTTTTTAGTCTCTTTTATAACCCAAAGGCGCTTTTTCATAATTAATTTTGGTATTTACCGCAATTTTTTACAACAGGTAATTAGTCATTATTTCAACTTTGCTTAATGAGTTAAATTTATACATTTTATCCAGGAGTGGCAGCTGCAGTTGCAACTGTGGTTATATTGGTTGTCAAATTTTGCGTATTCGAATTCGTCCACAAGGAGGAAAGTTGGCAAACCAGCCGTCATTTGAAACAACTGATTCACTTTGTCATAATTGGAATAACGGTACTGGTGGTGGCGGTACCTGAAGGCCTCCCGCTTGCTGTGACACTTTCACTCGCCTACTCAGTCAAGAAAATGATGAAGGTGAAACGCATTGCATTTAAAGCAGTAAAAGTGCCTTTAAGCTTATTATTGCTGTATTGAAAATCGGTTTGTTGGAAGAGTATACAGGAATTATCTTTCACAAAACCAATTATTGCTTCGAACATTCACCATTATTACTTTGTGGTATAAGATAACCTTAAGTTGAATTTACAAACACGTCCGGAAAACCTCCAAAGCCGATATTTTACATTGATATTCAAGAGTATTTTATTCCTCTTAAATTCTCTCCTGACAGGTTTCAAAAATTACTTAATAAAGGAAAAATTTACTGTTGGTTGACTTCGGTTGCGAAAAATGTTTGATTACTATAGGTGTCCTGTACTCTCTTCAGCGCACACTGTCAGTTATATTAGCGTGTTGAGTGTTACTTCAGAAACTAATAAAGCAAAAGGTTACGGAATAGGTATTGGTGGCCAAGTAATAAAAGGCCGTCCATTTCAATCGAAATCTTGCTTTATATTTCAAGACGGAACTGAGTGGTCTTTTAATCCGTGCTATTATCAAGAAACGTGGAATCAGGGTACGTAGACAATTATTATTCAAAGCACTGAGTCACTGCATATACCTATCGAAGACACTATAGAAGGTTACTAGCGTCTTGTCAAGGCGCTATAAACTCAATTGTGCCTGGCTTATCCCAAATTGCGGTCCTAGAGGATCCGTGTCGCAATGGGTACTTCTTTTCGTGCCTATTAGTATTTCGAGTACCAAGCCCCGTCCGTTAAACTTTTATTTGACGATATAAGCCAAGTAATATCTTGAAGCAGTTATTACTAACTTCAGTTTTAATTTTTCAAAACCTTTTAGGATAACAATTTGGTTCGTCATTTGGATTCGTGTGAGACGATGGGCAACACCACGGCCATTTGCTGTGACAAGACAGGGACTCTAACAACAAACCGAATGACGGTTGTAGAAGCACACATTGGGGAAAAGGTCCTTTTCCTATCTGACATGACGAATGCAAGCTACTGTCACATCGTGGATAGTTTCGTTCTCTCAAAGCTCGAACTGGCTATTGCACTCAACTCCTCCTATTCATCTCAACTGCTGGTATCTTGTTTTGCATAAATTAAATCTGTACTCTTTGTGCAGTTACATATACACTGTTGTACGACAGGTACTGAGACGAATATTCGCATTGCAGATGTATTTATATCTGAAGTCGAGGAGAAATTAGAAGAGAAAGGCTGTTGGGTCGCCAGAATCATTTCTTTATTCATCCTAGCTTTCAAAATCCCACAAGCATCTATCCTCAGAAATAAAGGCGGCAACAAAAGATGCAATGGTTACAGGGGTAGAGGCCAATCAAACACACATGGTGTCAGTCCAGTGGTGATTAAAAATGGCTCTGTATACCGACACTGAATCAATATATTGATTGTCTTAGTTTTAATCGGAGGCCCAGAGTTCAAACAAGTAGTGTCTTGTCTTGGGCCAATAGTTGATTTGCCTGACGTTTCGAGATACGTCGCGGATTCATCCTTAGAGACTTACGCAGAAGGCAGTAGCGTCTTCTTTCTGGCGCAGGCGATTATCTTCGATAAATCTATTTGCACCAGCCTATAGAGTCCAATAGAGTCACACCCGGACTGCTTTACTGATGTTTGATTGGCTTCCACTCCTGTAACGGTTGCTTGTCTTGTTGCTGTTGATGAAGATAGATTTCAGTGAAAGCTCGCATGAATTAAGAAATAATCCCGACGACTGAGCAACCTTCTTCTCCTTCCTCTTCGCTCATACGTAGTCTCTGATAGATAATATTTAAAGTTCATGAAAACAATAATTGCCCTAATCCGTATAGGAAAACTGTTTATTATAATATCTACTTGATCCCGTATGTTTCCAAAACTGCTTTTATATTTTTTCTCATGGTAAATGTAAAAAAATGTAGCTCGACTCGTGTAAATACTACAGTTCCATAAATATGACGATTTTACTTTTAGAATTATGAAGGTTTTATGACACTTGCTTGGACGAAAGTCAGATATGTTAACCCGATGAGGCTGCGTACCATCTAAAAGTAGTTTTAATAGTATAAATTAATTGTAAACATTGCATCGGTGTGCAGGTTCAAATGAATTTTTGCAGACCACTGCATGAAGTGCTAGTTGTCTGTGCGCGTACTTATACTGATAAGCTAAATTCTACGTTTTACTAACGGAGGTTGCAACGTCTTTCGCGGTTCTAATCGATCATACTACTTAAAAATTTAGTGTAAACATTTTTTTCCTAGAATAAATACCACAATTGGTTCTCTCGACTATTGCCTTCATAGTAATTTGCCTTAAATATTATCTACAAGACAAATAGAGTTTGAGATTTTTGTTCTTGAAATACTTTAGTTAATCTTTTTGCAAATTTATTTGATAGATCATTGTGTTGGAACATAATAACTATTACGGCTGCTAACTATGAGACTGTTACAAGTTGCCTAATTGCGAACCCTTTGCTTCAGCCACCCAAAACAGCCGGCACTAAACCCATTCAAGTCGGAAACAAGACCGAATGCGCACTGCTTGGGTTTTTGAGAATGCTGCGCAAAGACTATGCCGTCATCCGTCAAAATCATCCAGAATCTGAATTTCTGAAAGTATTTGCCTTCTCTTCTGTTCGGAAGTCGATGACAACTATCTTGCTAGCCGACGGCGGTCAATCACTCCTCTGCTTGACAAAGGGTGCTGCCGAAATAATACTTTTAAGGTTACTACACACTTTTCAAGTAAAGGTTATTTGCAGCATAAATCAATCTTCAAATAACAGCAATCAATTTGAAACGAAAAGCAGATATCTCTCGTAGAGTAACTAGATTAAGTAAGTACTATAGTCCGCTAATAGAGAAAGAACCTCCTGACCTGTAATTCAATTTAACAATAAAGAAACTAAGCTGGCACCTGGGGTATATAAACAGCTGCTCGATAACTGTGTGTCGAACTAAAGTTCGGACAGCATTTTGTGTGACTAAGTATATTCATTTCTCTTTTCTGACAGATAATGCTTGCCCCTTTCATTAGAGCATTAATGTTCTCATGGTCTTCCACAAGCAAACATTCACGACATTTCTGAACCGCCCAATCACATTTAAACTTTCCCACCGGTATACTATATTGTTGCTGTATACTTGCCACTCCTTTATTATACAAGCAGAAGGAACAATATGCTTTATTTTGAAAGAAGCATCCCCAGTTTTCGGTAAAAAAACACTGTTCACCTAGCCAACATAAATCTCAAAAAATTAATAGAAAATAAAGAAGATTGCCTAAAATTGCACAACTATTATGGAGAAAAACTGGTTTTTTAGTTTCAGAACTTAAGGCTGCCGTTAAGTCTGTTATCGTCACTTAAATAGCACTATAAAATATTGATATGGATAGTTAAGGCTAGTGATACACCGTATACCACACGCATGGGGTGGGGCGAACTTCAACGTTTAATTAAGTGTAAACAGGATGGATAATATACTCCATTCTTCGATCAGAAATGGATTGGCTGCTGTGAGCTATCCTCGTGTTATGCTGGCTAAAACAACACAAAACGGGCATTTGGAGAACGCGTCTTAAAATGCGTTTATCGTTCTGGATGAAAGCAAGAAATACCAGGAGGGCAGTAAAAAAAGGGAAGAAGAATATATAATTCCACAGACAATTAGACCAAGGACCGAAAGATGCAAAAAAACGTAAAATTTGAAGAAATATATATGTTGAAATGTTCTATTAGAAAGCTCTTTGACATCACAGGGGCATCAGCAATTGGAGAACAAACTCACACCGAAAATATGGCACTTCGTCGGCAATAATACCAAAGGATTCAGGAATGGGAGATGTTAGCAGCCCAAACTGCTTTGTAATAGTTAAGCAGAAGGCCATTTAACAACGTTCATACAGAGACATGATCTAAACCATACTTCGGAGATTGGAGACGAGCTTCATTTTTTGATAAGTATGTGTAATTTATAGGCAATCACTGGCCGATCTCAGATTATCAGTATAAAAAATTGGGCAAAAAGATAAAGTCACAAGTTAAGGTAGTCCATAATTAGTCAGCGAAGAGACCGCACAAAATTAGCACAAAACAGAGAGTGATCTGCGGTCGTGTAAAAAAATCCAAGCGAGGGGTCGAATTCAGATATTTTCTTCAAGAATATGTGGGGTGGAATAGTAATGAAGGCAGGACAGTGGGCAAGAGATATATATGCTTACGTTCGGCAACCTTCGTTTAGTTTGCTCTTGGTGGAGTAAGCTATAAGAAAAACAGCATCCAGGGTAACATGCAGGGCATTATAAACAACTTGGAGCACTGGGCTACAATTCGCATTGACCAATTAAGATAGAAAATAAGTCAAGATATCGGCTTTCAACTTCGTCGTTTATTTCTCCTGCAGCACTGCATACTCTTTGTTTGAATAGTTACGGGCTATTGCATTTTTATACTAAATGGAAGAATGGACCCACGCCGAAAAGCAGTGTTTGATAACACGAAAAAAATATCATAGAGGTTTGAAGCATTCTTATGGTCTTATCAGCAGAATTTAACTAAAAATCAATTTCAAGAGGCCAATCGAGCTCCAATCTCGCTCATCTATCGGTTGTTTAAAACTGTCATATACAAAAGTTATATGATGATTGTACAGTACTAACCAAATACAATATTTTGTTCCAGTAAAAAGGGTTTTATTTCTTCAATAACAGATGCTCCTTTATGATGGACGATCGCGGTAATCTCACTGAACTTACAAACGGGGCTCGCCTAGACTATATTCGGAACAGGATCGAGCCAATGGCAAGGAAGGGTCTGCGCACAATTGCAATTGCCTACAAAGAAGATCCTATAAGTAAGCATGTGACGTCCTATGACCCGATGCCATCTAACCAATTTCTTTGCCTCGGATACAGTTCATAATAAACCAATAAGCACCTCTGAATTTGGCCGCATTCATTTCGAGACACTAGTCGAACCTGTGCATGTCTGAAATACTCCTGTCGCAGCTGCTTATGGTTGCATAGACAGTTTTGTGCGGTTATTGTAATAAAGCATAACTGGAACTGAACACTTTAATAACAAGCTTACAGAGCAGCTGCAAGATTTGTTCAGTATATACGCATGATGTTGGCAAACTTTCAAGAGGATTTCGTATTCTTCCTTTCAGCATGTCCAATTATAACTAGAAAGCTAATGTAGGTCATTCTACGCAAATTTTACGGAGGAAGCTTACCATTCACTTATTTAAATAGTAAATAATTACTATAAATATATTTGAGTGATGTTGTAGGTAAAGAGTGTACATGTCTACCAAACCTAGAAAACATTTACGGCAAAACAAGCGATGATCCAGTGAATAGTATAGACTGATAGTTTGCAGCTATAACGTGTCGATACAAGCAATTGCTTAAAAAATTCAATATTTACCCTCTTTTTTGGCTCGGTAAGCTTAATTACAAATAGGACACGAATGTTCCAAATATACTACTTCAAACTTTGTTCTCACAGTGTTACTAGACATTTATGAACTGTGCAAAGATTATTTTATATTGCCTTTTTAAAGTTGTCTACGGTTTGGTTTTTATGGCGGCTAATTTTAATTTGTGACGTATTCTTCCTCCTTAACCACTTGGTCCAGAAGCTAAATATGTCAACCTCACAGAAAGTGAGAATCGCCGTAAGAGAAGCACTACGCATAATCGACGTTATAGGAAGAATTATATACTCTATGGTCAGTATTCTAGCAGTAACCACCGTAACCTAAACAGCAACTTCCAAGTGGTACACAAATTCACGAAGGTGAATTCAGGGAATTAATTTACCTCCTTATAAGAGGCACTCTCTGCATCGGCAAGAGTGGCAGTTCATTGCAAACACACATTGGTAAACTTACAATGTCCATCGAAAGTTTGAACCTCTTGTGTTTGGTGATTATTAATTATGTCGTAGCTTATTTTTGTTCGCCTCTTTTGCCGAAGAGACAGTGGAAGGCGAAATGTAGAAGTGCAATATCTACAGACCATTTTAAAACCCTCCATACGGTAACATTAGGAATAATTTAATTCTTTGGAGGGTGGTTTCCTCCTATCCTTACCGATTCTAATAGGACTTTTGGTACCCTTCACAGTTTTGCTTTCAGTCATGTAGTTTTTATCTCTACCCAATCTTAAACGAAAGAACATCTAGTAGAAGCCAAGAATCATGCCGAGCTTAATGCTTCTTGCCTCTGAACATATACATACATACAATCGCTTATACGGCTTACGTACGACATACATTTTTAGATTAGTTAAACGGCAAATCGTTTTTAATAATTAATACCCCGAACATCACAAGCAACTAGCCGTCTTAAAGTTTACAGAAGATAACTTCTTTCTGGGTGGCGACATCTTATAGACAAAGATGAAGATTTAGGTCATAACAAGTCTACGGTGTGTGCTAGAAAGGAGGAAAAACGATAACTCGAACAACCCACGCAAAAAGGGTGTGCGGCTCGTGCACGTACATTAGCCAGATAAAAAATTTTTAAAACGGTCTTCCATCAACAGAGATTATTTTTTCATAAACAGTTCATCAACTTTTACTTTTTCTACTCGTTTATGAAACTTAAACGGTTGCTAACGGAACTCACTTCTCCCGCTCTGCCCTCTGTCTCAGTATCGGGCCCTGAGAGCAGCCGTGCAGCGTCTAGTAGTCTAGGCAGATAGTGTTTTCCGGCAATTCTATATGCCTATGAAATTTGTTGACTGCTTTCAATCATTCAAATATCTATATGCCATGGAAAGTTCTGGACCCAAAAATCCTTTTAATCAATGAATTGTCTTCGCGTAGCGTCTACGGCTTCTGATGTTTTTTTTTCAGATTGAGTCGAAGTAGTTCTCACGTTTTATAAATGACACAAACATTATCATAATTAACATTTTTGAGTGGGCCTACGTTTAAATTCGATGCGTTTTGACCCCGGTAAGATACTACGTTTAATGTTCCAAGCATATCTTGTTATGTACTTGCCACACCTCAATATATTGCGGTGAAGAATCCGCGGCACGACAGGTTAACTTTTGAGTTAATAGTCAGCGACCGAAGAATCCGAGTTTAAGGCCAGATTTTGTCCAACGTGGGGTTGGAGTTAAGCTACTGAATAATGAAAATCTTATATGAAACAGCCATTACAATCTTAATTTGTTTGAAATTAATCCCACGTTTTGTGGTTTTTTCTCTGATTATTGCAGTTACCTTTGTCTACTACCTGGAATTTACTATACAAACATATCCTGTTTCTTGCCAATTTTTTCTCCTACAAGTCACATTGCAATACTTTTTAAAAGCAAGCGGCTAAAAAGCGAAGGCAAATGTGACACCAGATGTGTGGTCAAAAGCATTCCCAAACGAAGAAGTTACTTGTAACTGCTGTGTGCATAGGTTATTTGACCCGTTGAATGACGTCGCTAACAGGTTTCTAAATGTTTACCTTGCGTGATTTGCATGATTTTGTTTTAGCATGCGCACTCGGAAAGAACAGGTTCATGAGCAAAACCTTAAGAAGAAACTGCAGTCGTTCATAAGACACGTACGCCTGCCTTGTACGGACAGACTAACATAGGGTCTTATTCAATTGATTACATTAATCATCTGTTAGTGGCGCTTAAAACTGCAACGGGTATTGAAAAAGTGTAAGTTGTATGCATAGTCTCGTGTGTTTAAAATGTGCTTCGACTGGAGTGAATGTTTTTTATCCTACTGAAAAACATTGTTTGTGTTCTATCATGACCATTTGCGGAGCTACAGTTAACCAGTGGTACTCTACCATTTAATAAGATGCATTGTTGAGCGAAATAATCCTTTCTCTAGAATTCTCCTATATAGCTGAGGGAAATCACCTAAAATGATAAAATAGAAGCCTCAATCTACCGTTGGCACTGACAATTTGGGACTGAAATTTTGAGGACCTTAAATACCTTTTTTAACCTGCGCCTGGAAGGCTTATTAGGTATAATTAACATTGAAGTACTAATTTTAGAATATTGCCTATGCACTGAAAGTCCCAGATACCAAATATGTATTGAGCCTGACGTCTCAGACATTTTGCTTAGCACTTGCATTATGAGGAGGGTCGACAAAAATGTCAGATCTGCGTTCCTCTGAAGTTCTCTGACTTATTTAAACATGACAAGTATTTTGAGATGGTGCCAGAAACTGCTCCCAATGTGTTTTTAATCGGTGTCTTTAGAAGACTATAATACATAGATAGTTTTTTAGTGGATGAAAATAAAATATTGGAAGTAAGGAAATCTGAACTAAAGGTATTTTAAGGACACATGGTTTCATTTCTTGACAACATGAAAGGCGAGGACGTTTTCCTTGTGCAGGACGTAATATAATGTGTTCTGTGGTAATTAGTGATGTTAATGACACCGCTCGCAAATTTCTGATCAAAAGCCATCTGAATATGAGTACAGGGAAGCAAATATCTATGCCCTCTATGCCGTGAATTATCCACCGGAAAATCACATACTGGGTGTCCTTAGTCTCTACAGCCCCCTGTTTGCATTTCGCAGGACCTGGCATATCAAAAAGAGCGTTTCGTAAATCCTGATGGATGACATATTTGCACGCCAAACCTCTGTGCGCTCTCATATCGCCCGATTTCCCCATTGCCCATTGATTTTGGCGTCTTCCAAGAACAAGAAGTGCCGTCATAGCATAGATTTGCTCTAACAAAACAGAGGTCATCAATTCCGCGCCTGTGTATGGTGGCTGACCTGCATTCGTATCCTGCCGACTGAACCAACTACGCGACTCGTAGTTTTTTAAGCCGCAATATGGCGTTCCTTGAGATCATGGTCTGAACACAGTCCCGTTGGCACCCCAGTTGGGTCTGGCCGAATGGAGTTAATATCTCAGGATTCGCCCTTGGGAACTGCTGATATATGGTTGCAAGAGCAAAACTTCAGTTTTTTATGATTGCTGACATTCTAATGTAAGTCGTTTGATCAAAACATCGCTCAAAAATGTCGTTTGCTTTGGGTTGATTTACGCGGTGTAGACCCTCTGAAAAGAGGCTAGTCTATAAATGTGATACAGTGATAACGGTTGACTTCTGTGGAAATTGAGGATTTTTCGGGTGTTAAAGAAGTTTCGGTAGACTGTTACCTACAGTATTTTTACTCCATATGGTGCCATTAAACGACTATTCGTGATTCAAACTCTTTAGTGAACTTGGTCTCAGGGGAGATGGAATATCCTTGATGGATGGAGTCGCTTAACTCACGTGCAGGAAATTCAAGAAGCAGAATTTCCAATTAATGAAGAATAGACGTTTTGCTCTACCTCATGTAGTGATGTTAGATATGAAACGCGTATTTGTACAGCACGGGACGTTGATGGTTTGTCTGGTTTGTTGTAGTTTTTTTCATAGCAAAAATTATAATATATGCCTTGGTAATTTTGGTTTCATTTTAAAAAATTGATCTGTCACAATTCCAGATCGATAATCGCTAAAACATCCAACTTTTGCGCTTATATTTCTAACCATTCTAGCGTCTTAAGTGGATTTGCAGGCCTTCATTTTCCAAAATCTCTTTATGTGTATACCGACTAAAGACGGTTAAATCTTTGTATATCATGCGAAGGCATGCCTCTTTATGCCCTCGGTTTTTCGCAAACGGCCCCCAGCGACACTAGCTGCATCCAAAAGTTTGAACAACCTATCGATTGCTACTTCTAATATATATATGTGTTTAATTTGTTGTCATTTGAGTTGTACAAAGCAAATAATTTCCAGTAACTTATCCTATAAAGATGTCGGAAGGATCATAATTTAACGGTCAAAATTCTCTGCGGCTTCTGTGAAGTTTGTGTCAGAAAATAAACTTTTACTGGCTGCGAAGTAAGAACAGAAAGCGTCAGTTATATTTAAGCTGATGGATCCAAATTTTCGCAGTCGTTTTTGGGAAATTCTTGATACATTTTTGGCGGTAGTCTCTCTTTATCCGAAAGAAGTATACGGCAGTCTCTTTTGCTAGACTTCGTTTTGAACAACAGTTCAATTCCCAGTTATTAGACGCCTCATCAAACATGGGAGAGAGAGCAACATTTCTATTCAGAGTTCCAGCAGTATAACTGAACAGTTTATATGGTACAATTGATGTGCTGTGTCGAGAAATGCTAAACCTAATTCTAAAATCTGTTTTTATTTTCAAAAAGATTGTTATATACAGTTAGAATATTAACTACCATGCAGTATAACCCCGAGATATTTCAATTATGTCAGAAGGCCAGCTCTCGAATGCGCTTTTTCTGACTGCCTGTAAAAAAATATGTACTCAACTTTTTTTAAACAAAGTAAGTCTTTTTAAAGGTGTAGAGGTATAAAACGGGGAATTCTGATTTTAAACGTTTTTGTTATTATGAGATTTTTTAAGACCATGATATATCTATCCATAGAGCATCATATTTGTCCATTTGTAACTGCTGCTTATAACCTATAACAAATGGTCAAACCCAAAGCAAACTTTGTAAACACCATTGGAAGTCTCCCTCATAGCTTAGAAAAATGTGCGCTTGTCCTTAAATGGAATTTGTCCAGGATAAATCTGGAAACCCAGGTTAGGTTCAAAGTATTCGACAATTATAAAAGTCAATTATGTAAAGCGTACGCTACCATTTCTTCAAGTACACAATTTAAAGAAGAAATAATTTGCTATCGATATTTCTAATTTTTAAGAGCTGCAGAAAGCTATAGGGAAAAGTAATACGACTGCAGTAGTCATTTTTACGGAATACCGTTTTTTAGGCGCCGAGAAGCAGTTGATTCAGAAGTTGGCCTCTTGTCGTGACTGAATTATATTGAGTTTATGCATCCTAACAACTATTATGATGACCTCAATTAAGAAATATTCCAGAAGTGAAAACATAGTTCAAAATTACAGCTAAAACTTAATTAGTCAGAAAATCTACTTTGTAAGTAGCCCTGTTATCTATTTCATCCTTTCCATCACCGTAGCCCGTTATCATATTACTTTACGTGATCCCAGAACACTTCTAAAAACCTTCATCTTCGCTTCACAGACACATCGGAAAACCTTAACGTTGACGATGAGAGTGCCTGGGTACACGGATTGATTCTTCTTTGCGTAGTTGGCATAGAAGATCCTGTAAGACCGGAAGTTCCCCTGTCTATCAGACACTGCCAACGGGCCGGAATAACGGTTCGCATGGTCACCGGCGACAACATAGAGACTGCAAAGTCCATAGCACTCAAGTGTGGCATACTGAACAACAACACCAAGGATAGCCGGGACGCTGTGATGGACGGAAGAGAATTCAACAGACGCATCCGACATCCAGTGACGGGTCATGTTTCTCAAGGAATGTTTGATGCGGTGAGTCGTGACATTTTCCACCGCATAAATGTTAGGAGTAAAAATAAAGCCGGAACAGACAATATATAGGTGATGCAGTATCTTTTTATGTTCAAATACCTTTCATACTGAAATGATATAGGTCAATATTTTGAATGATCCACTGCAGTCATTAAAGCATTTTCTACGCATAAACTGTTGCTACTTAATTATCAATTTAGATCGAAATGGATATTAATTATTAGCGTATTTTGAGCGCATGCAGCCATATGTGACCCAGCCGGCTTCAGTAATGTCGTGGATTGTGCTTTTCTGCGTATTACAGTATGTGGCAGTAGGCCTAGACAGTTCAACCAAATATCTTCTCCAGTAACGGGACAGGATATTTCAATAGTTCGACCATTGGTTTTGACAAAGCCCGTGCTGTATCCTCCGGTAAAGTTGCACATGAATAAGGTTATAGTGAAAGTAGATTTGCGCTGCATCGACTGAACTCTCTTATCTTCTTCCATCTGGGTCAGCATCATGACCAAGTCAAGAAGGCTGGAAGTGGGAGAGGGCGCAGGAGGTTAATACGGCCCGAGTCGTGCAAAGGAACGCCGCCACAACTCGCTCGAATCCTACGAAGTGGGAGTGCTAAAGAGGCCGCATTAAGAAACAGCTCTTGCAGCTTGACTCGCAGTCCACCAGTGGGACATTCAACACAAACACTAAATTGGCTGACCGCCCGGTCCGAATTTTTCGGTCAGTTGATAACCTTCCAAGGCACGACTTTTAGCGTGCTGTGATAGCTTCATGCTCATCAAACTGTTTGTAGTGGGGCAACCGGACTGAGATGTCGACCCCATTCTCTATTCCCATTCTCAGACCCCAGCCACCGTCGACTGGTGCAGGGAGCGGGCGCAGTGGCTGACGCATCTCATGATCTCGTCGGCACGTGTCATACACGTGCCCCAAAATGCATACACCATGCTTTCTCACAAAAGGAGGTGAGCGGCTCACCTCTAACTATGGGAGAGTGCAAGAGGTCATGTTAAGAAGGAGCCCTTTGGCCTCTGCACACAAGCACACAGTAGGTTGACGAGAGCAGATAAAGCTAACAGGGCGGCATCTTTTGCGTAGTTGAAGCTACTCAGCCGACGTTCCGAGTACCTATTTAGCATTAGTAAATGTTCCTTGGGCTCTTACGAAAATTTATTAACGAAATTTATTAACGAAGGTTAGCGACAGAATAGAACCATTTTGACAGATGGGTCTAATACCGGACGGCTGAGTTAGAAGTTTGTAGACCAAGATTCGCTGACCTTCAAATTGATGGTAGGATATGATTACAAAGATAATTGTGGTTAACATACACCCAATTTTACTGAACATAGAGAAGACTAACGATGGACAGGTTCGAACGTTACAGCGATGTCAGCAAGATAGGCGGTCATCAGTTGTATATACTTATGGCGGTATTTGCGAACTAGCCGAGGTTTAAATACCCGATCACTACATCGACGTACACTTCGGATCCCGCCATTTACCACAGTTTGTCAGTTGCTGCAAGGAGCTGCGGTGACAATGTAAACGTAAGGGGTATTGAATTCAGCGGGGATACCGTCTTCAAGTGCAATATTGTTTCATTGCTCAGTATGGGATCGGCGATTTCTCTCCGGAGAGAGCGTCACACGACATCGCATAGACTGGATAGAGGCAGAACTTCTATGAGGAGAAGGGAGAAGGGCTATGAACTGGTCATTAAAATTGAGAAGCGGTCAGAATTGCTCAAACCCGCTTTAAACATATGCTGTGTTTCCGGCAATAATCCCCCAATTCACATTACGGCCGGAGTTTTCATTGCAAAGACTTATCACTAACTTGCTTAGTAGTTTAATAGAACCTTAGACTGTCAGACATGTTTCAGGCTCCTTGTAGATATCACCACTTCAGTTTACTAACTCTCCCATTCATCTAGAGCAGAACTTGCCATTATTTTCTGACGATAGTAAAAAAAGGATCCGTATCGTGGGACCTAGATCAGACAGTCTGAATAGAGATTTATGGATTCCTCAATTAAAGGGTTGCTGCACTTTTGCTGCTTGAATTTAAACCAAAGGCTTTAACGATCCAGTTTCCGTCATTACGGACTGCAAGACCTCGGCAGTGCCGAATAGGTCAATCTTTGTGGCATACATGCGTCCTTAAGATGAAAATTTGAGAGAGGATGCGACCTGTACCTTTGGATATGTTTAAAGTCTTTGCCAGTTTTGTGTACAGCGATTCTATCAGTTATCATGAACACAGGTAACAATGTATACAGTGACTAGAATTCAGTTTATCGTCTTGCACTTATGACCATCTTTTGCCAAGTTAGCCAGCAGATATTGGCAGTGATTTCAGAAGCATATTTTGCTTACACCTATTCTTTCCATTTCGTTTGATCCAACTCTTTCAGCTGCCTGTTGAAGGTGTCTTTAATGTCCGGTTGGCAAGTAATGTCGGTGTTTACACAGAGACAGTGATGTTAGCCAAGTACCATCTTGTAATCAGTAAGCTTATCAGTTATTACTTGATTCGCTTTGTTTGACAGGATGATCGTTGAATCGTGTCTACCAGACATTGCACGTGAATAACCGTGATTGAGGTAAAAAGGGCAGCTGACCCTTTGGGCGTTGATTTTCTGCGAGCCCGAGTCTGGAATTCGAGATGAAGATAGGCAGGAAATGCATGCCCTGTGCTCACAAATTGTGCACGCTGCACGACTTTACGTTTCAAGTTTCAGGGGCGTTTGCACCTTCCGACACTTAAAAATAAAAGCTTGTTCTTGACTGAATAGCCGAACAGGTGAATTATGTCTCCACCGCACAAAATCAAGGCTGCGCAGCGTGCTGGTTCCCATGAGCCGATGGAAGTTTGATCAGCATATTGGATGTGAACATTTTCAGGGGATTTCTTACAGACTTTGTGCGCAAGCGGGATACCCAGCAGTCGTTCGAATTGTCTTCCCTAAATGTCTTAGGAGCAGACAGTGGGAGTAGGCAGAACTAGTTAGTGGCGATTCGTAACCGTCATATCGCAGTTATGCCTTTTATATTTGTTACGTTATTTGTTAATTCCGTATCCAGAGCCCAATGTGAAGAGCCATTTGGAAACATTGGCTACCTTGCTCTTTGGAAGTGAAAATGCTCAGGGGACAGCGTCAACAGCTAACTTTAGGGAACAAAAATAAAACAGGTTGACGGAAAATAATTGTTAAAAAATGTAACGTTTAACAGTAAACTCGAAAAGTTAATTCGGAAAACATATGTTTAAAATAATAAATCATCGGGCCGTTACATAATGCAAGTGTGGGAGTTGGACCGGGTTTAGAAATCTCTTACGGTAAATAATCACAATTCTCTTAGCATACGCGTGGTGATGTTGGCATATTGAAATCATGGGAGACTGGGGATGGGAAAAGTATGGTAGGCTGTAAGCAATGCTAATTGGTCGTGCAAAGGGAGTGAAAATCACTGAGAGGACGTAAACGCGATCCTTTGGCCTAGAAGTTTATTCGCATTCTGCCAGTTAACCAAATGGCCGAGCAGTTATAACGGAAAAATCCAGCACGAGTGATGCAATGTCAGCACTCCGGCCATTCAGTACTTACCACATAAGCGGGCAGTAAGCCTTTATAAAGGAAGATCCGTTTATTACCATAAGTATGCACTAGCATAGTGAGGGAACCACAGCAGACGCTTTTTCGTCGCGTTCTCACCTGCTTCACGGCGGCCAAGGTCTGCCACACCAACTTCTCTACGTTGGATCAATCTCCCCTCCTTTCAACCTATACTTCTGATAACGGAGCAGCCCCCCGGCAACGCTGCCCCGACTCTTCTTCCTCGCCGCCGGAATTGAGGCCAACCCTGGATTTCCTTGGTACTGCCCGTTCTGTCAAGTTCGCCTGGGCCGCCACGACTGTTCTGTACGTTGCGGCTCATGCGATGGTTGGTGCCATCTCCGCTGCAGTGGTCTCGCCAACTCTGACGATT